TAAAATAAAAACATTTAAAATAACTTTAAATGCATTTTAAATGGTAACACTTCGGAGTTAGAAGAACACCTGATAAGTAAATGATCATGTGTAAATGATGACTGGCTTATTTTCTACTCTTCCTTTTGATAACTAAGCATCATAAGATTCTATTCAATTATAAGTCACTATGTTTTGTCTACCGCAACATGTGACTGTCTTGATTAAAACCCTAAAGAAACTATTTCCTTAACTCAATGCTCCTCAACCTCAGCAAGATCAACATTTTACACCAACTACATCTTTGTTGTAGTGCGCTGTCCTGTGCACTGTAAGATGTTTACAGCACCCTTAGCTTCTTTATAGTAGATAGCTGTAGCAACTCCTCCAAACTATAGTTCCTGAAATCATCTCCAAAACAGTCATAGCAGTGCACATTTGCGACCCCAGTACTTTGGAGGCTGAGGAAGGAGGATTGTGGAAAGTTTATGGCCAGCCTGGGACACTTAGCAAGTTCAAGGCTAGCCTGGACTACATGGTGAGACCCTGTCTCAAAAAACAAAACAGAACAAAACTACTTAATATTGGGGGGATCACCTTCAACTGAGGAGCACTGCTCTAAAGTCTGGGTAGGCTAACTTTTGCTGTAAACTACTACTTCTTCTTTTTTTAAATCTATTTGGTACAAGGTCTACAGAGTCTACAAGGGTCTCACTATGTAGACTGGACTAGTAGTGATTCTCCTGTTTCCAGCCTCCCAAGTGCTGGGATTACAGGTGCATGACACCATGCCCAGTCTCAGTCGCCATCTCAGGGTGTCCCGGGGACGGGGCCGGCAATGCAGGCTGGGGATCGAACTCTGGCTGCTGCGCTGTGCCTGAGCAAGTGCTTTGGTCTGCTGAGCTATCTAGCCAGCCCTACTTTAACTTCTGAAGCCCAGTGTGAGCCTCTTGTTGCAAGTACTGAACTTTCAACAGTACATAAATGACCATGGGTGTGTATACTAAAATGTTATATATATTAAATATTTGTGTGATTTCAACTATCATAAAATACATATTTTTAAAATCTTTTTAACCCTACCTCAAGGTCTCATGAATGCCTCACAAGTGTTCTATTCCTAAACTGTATCTCCAGCTCCATATTTTCTCTGGTGGTGCTGAGGCTAGAACCTGGGCCTTCAGCGCACTACAAAAGTGAGTGGTCTACCACTAAGCAACATTCCCAGGTCCTCCCCTCTCTACTCCTTTTGTGAATAAACTTAGGGCAGGACTAATTAAGCCTCACTCACTACAGTAAAACTGTATGCAGTTTTTTGTTTTTTTTTTTTTGGTGTGTGTGTGGTGCTAAGGATTAAACTCAGAGCTTTGTACATGTTAAGTAAGTACTCTATCACTCAGTTCTATCTTCACCCCTCTAATTTTAACTAGTTAGAGAATAAAATATTTTAGTAGGTGGTACAAAAACAAGCAGTATGACCAATGTAGCCTTTTGATCCATAATTTCCTGAACTCAGTTCTAAACTGCTACCAATCTTAAGCCTGGCTCCCAAGACCCCCTATCATGACTTCCCCATGCATTAAGAACCCCAGCCATGAGCCAGTGAGATAGCTCAGCAGTCTAAAGCACCTGCTTAGGCAAGCTTAGGCAGGTGCAGGGGACTGCAGTTTGATCCCTGGCACCACAAGTCATGCCAGCATCACCCTTAGGGTGGGCTAAGTTGACCAAAAAAAAGAACCTCAGAGAGATTTAGACTATGAATGTTGTTCATTTCGCCATTTACCTGTGTGACTCCAAATAGTCATCCTCTTTTTCAAGAATACAGAGTGATGGACTTGTTCAAATAGTATGGTAGGGACAACTGACAATTAAAGTGAATAAATTTACATGTTAAACTACAATCACAATCAAGAAAATTAACATATGTACTACTCCCCAAAGCTCCCTCATTGCAGTGAAATCCACCTGTCTCACAGTCGATTCACATTCTTTTTTTTTGTACTGGGGATCAAGCTCAGCACCTTGTGCTAGTGAGGCAGGTGTTTAAGCCTCTGAGCTATCTCCCTGGCTTGATTTATATTTTTGAACTGAGCCAACCCCTGATACTTTTACTAAAGAACAGCTCGCATCATCTATACTTTTTATATACATTTAAAAATTACCTTGTCCATTTTTATCAAAATTGTCTGCTAGAATTTTTGACTCACTTTGTAACAAATTAATGTAGATTTGTATAAGGAAAAATTGAGAGTTGCACAATATATACATATATTTTTTAATTTTTTGTTAACATTTATTTATTTATTGTGTGTGTGTGTGTGTGTGTCCAGCTCAGCCCACCAGGGGGCGGGGCTGGCTGGCATGTGGTGCTGGGGATTGAACCACGGTCCCTGTGCTTTGTTTTAGCTTCGCTTGTTCTAAGTAGGTGCTTTAGACCACTGAGCCATCTCACCAGCCCTATACATATATTTTTAAGACATGGTTTTGCTATGTAGTGCAGGATGGCCCTGGACTCACTATATAGCCCACACTGGCCTCAAACACTGATCCTCCTGCCTCAGTGCCTGAGTGCTGGGATTACAGCTGTGCACCACACCTGGCTAGAATATAACAACACGGAGTCTACTGATCTCTATATATGGTACATTTCTCCACCAACAGAGGCCTTATTTCTTTCAGGAGTAGTTTTTTTCCAGAATACAGTAATATTTTTAGTGTTTCATATTTTTATGCTATATAAATGGCATTATATTTGTAAATACTGTTTTTGATTGTTGTTAGCACATAGAAATAATCTTGATTTTTGTAGATTGATTGTATCCTGAAGCCTTATTAAGCTCTTATTAGTTATAGAAACTTTTTTTGGGGGGGCCAGGGAGATGGCTCAGTAGAATAAGTGCTTCCCTGCTAAGTGCAAGGGCCTGAGTTCAATCCCCGGTTCTGCAAAAAAAAAAAAAACTATTAAAAAAAAAAATAAAATAAAGACACTTTTTGGGAGTAGATTCCATGGTGTTTTCTATATAAATGACCTAGACATTTGTAAATAAAGCCAGTTTTACTTCTTCCTTTTGATTATGTATGCATTTTCTATACAGTATTGACTTACAAGTGCTAGGAATAAAAGTTCTTATGTTCAATTTTATACAAAGACAAAATATATTAAGTCTGTTAGTAAACACTCCTGTTCCATATTTAAAATATATTGCTAAAGATTTTAAAGTGGTATTACCTACAATCTGGATGGATTCTATTTCTTGGACTTCTGTGACTATACTGGTTAGAAATCCAGTAGAATGAACAGAAGTGATGTGAACAGACAACCTTGTGATGTTTATGAACTTAAGGCAAAAAACATGTTACCACTAAGTATTATGTTAGCTATAAGGTGTTTTGTTGTTGTTGTTGTTTCAGTTTTTGTTTTTGTGGTACTGGGGATCAAACTCGGGACCTTGTACGTGCCAGGCAGGCTCTTATGCCAGTGAGCTATATCCCCAGCCCCAAATTCTTTATAAATGACCATTATCCATGGACTCTTAGCTCAGTGGTGGGTTCAGTTAGGTTTTTTTGTTTTTTTTTTTACAGGGAGTGGTCATTGGCCTCTGCACAGGAGCTAGCTCAGGGAACACTGACAGTGAGGGACACTGAGAAGGGCACAGAAAAAGGGTGGTCAGGTGAGAGGGCAGGGAAGCTCTGAAGAAAACTCAGCTGCGGGTCTCTAATGGATAGCAGAAACCATATCCACACTCTGTGGCAGCACCCGCCTCAGGTAGGGAAAGCCTCCTTGGGCAAATCCTGACTAATTCCCCTTTAGTCACCTGTGGAGGTTTCTTTACTTTTGCACACTACCTTCACAGGGACTGCAGCTGACTGATGGGTCACAATGCTGCTTTTATACCACTGTGCCTAACAGGTATTTTTCAGTTTCACCATGTGCAGGATCCAGGCAAGTTATTCTTTCTGTGCATTACTTCCTCATCACTGATACTATCTTTTTTTTTTTTAATTTTTTTTTAAATTTTATTTATTTATTTATGTGTGTGTGTGTGTGTGTGTGTGTGTGTGGCCAGCTCAGCCCACCTGGGGGCGGGGCTGGCTGGCATGTGGTGCTGGGGGATTGAACCGCGGTCCCTGTGATTTGCTAAGCTTGTTCTAAATAGGTGCTTCAGACCACTGAGCCATCTCACCAGCCCCACTGATACTATCTTATAGTTACTTTTACAAGGTACAATCATGCCCACCACTCAATAAAGAAAAGTATAAACATAGCAAATAATAAAACAGGAGGTCTGAAAAATGGGTTGTGGTGATGTTAGTCACACAGCACCTCAGCAGACTGGTGCAGAGACATCTGCCAATTTAATTGCCAAAACCTCAGCACAGTGAGGTTTAGTGATGGGTTGGCTCACTACAGCTGAGGATACAAGGCAGCCTAGGGTTTTTGTTTTAGTACTGCAGATTGAGCTATATTCCTGGGTCAGTATTTTCTTTCTTCTTTTCTTTTTTTTAATTTTGAGATATGGTCTTGCTGAGTTATTAAGTTACACAAGTTGGGTTTTAACTTGTGATCTTCCTGCCTCAACCTCACAGAGCAGTGAGATTACAGGTAAACTCCACCATGCCCAGCTTGGTCCACTGTGTTCACAGTAAAGATCATTTTAGTGCAGCACCACAGTCATCTGTATATTACTTACAGATGATCCCATGTTACAAGGTAGTTGAATAGTTACGGGAGTGTTAAATAGTTATGGCAGAAAACAGAGAGCTACAGACCCTGCAGTATTTATTATCTAACCTTTCATAGAAAAGTTTGCTCAAGATAGGCCTAGAAATAAATATATGAAAAATTCTTTGATTTTGATACAAAAATTCCAAATTCCACTTTGGCAGTAATACTATAGTACCTAGCTCATGTCTGTGATATTTCTCAAAGACTTACTACTGAGGCATACAAGCAACTATAAGTTGATTTTCAAAGCTAAAAACTTAGTCACTACTAACTTTGAAATTCTGTTTCATTCTAGAAATTGGCAAAACATCAGACATGAAATTTGCATTTCTGTTTTGTTTTTTTCTACTTATCATTTTTCAAACTGACTTTGGACAAAATGAAGAAATTCTTAGGAAACAAAGGAGGAAGATGTATCACAGAAGATTGAGAAAAAATTCCTCACTCAATCAGAGGTCAAACACACAGAATGGAATTCAGCAAACAACGACCACTTCACCAATTACAAGATTTCCCATCATTAACTTTGATTACAGCATGGAGGAAAAGTTTGAATCTTTTTTAAATCTTCCTGGATTAGAATCGAGCTATAATGTGTTACCAGGTAAAAGAATGCTATGAGAGAAAAAGAGACAAGGAGGCAGACAGAGAGGATGAGGACCATCAGGAAATTAAACCTTCAAGGAGAAACCCAAGTTATTTGATTACCTTTTGGTTTACTGCACAAACAGATTTCAAAATAATTTTAAAAAATCATTTCAGGACTACATCAATACAAAATGATTTAAAAAAGAAAAAATACTTATCCTATCCCCATACTTATAAAAAATCATAGTTATTTTTGTTTCTAATATGTTTATTATATATTTTAAATAGTTACAATACATATCAATTTGTAAAGTGTTACTGCATTTATGCTAGGTCATTTAGAATAGAAATAAATTACTCAGATAACTTTAAATACACATGGCTATTAGATATTTTGTTTTTGAATTAAACATATTTCTTGCATGCAATGTATTAATTTTGTTTCTCAATCCATTCTGCCAGTCTGAATCTTTTGATTGGTCAGTTGAGACCACTAACTTTGATGGTTGTAACTGATATGTAGTGACTTATCCCTGTCATTTTATTTTCCTGTTACTGATCTTTTTTATTTATTTATTTTTATCGCTGTGGTTTGTCTTTTTGAGACAGTTTCCCTACGTAGTTCAGGCTGGCTTTTAACTCACTTGGTAACCCAGTATGGCCTTGAACTTGCAGCAGCTCTCCAGCCTCCGCATACTAAGTGCTTTCCCCTCTAATTGTTTGCTTGGCCTGGTGGATTCATTGTGTTGAGATTCATGGAGATATAGTCTTTGTTATCCTTTTCTAAACTGTCCTTTAGAACATTTTGGAGCGCTGGTTTGGTGTTCATGAATTTCTTTTTTGTCATGAAAGTATCTTATATCTCCGTCAATGTGAGTTGAAGGTTGTTTCCTTTTAGGGCTTGAAATCACTTTGAGCTCTCCCTGCCTTGAGGGTCTGTGTTGCGAATTCTGCTGTGACTATGATAGGCTTTCCTTTATAGGTGACATTTCTTTTCTCTAACAGCTTTAATATTCTGTTCTTGCATTGAATTTCTGGAATCTTACTTTTTACATGCTTTGATGTAGTTCTGTTTTTTTTTTTTTTTTTTAAATCATGGTAATTACAGTTCTATTTACCTCAATTATCAGTATATCTAATTCTTTTTCCCAGTCGAAGTTTTTCACCATTACATCTGCTTTTTCATCAACTCCCATTAATTTTATGTTATTCTTTGTATCATCTAGAAGCTGTTGGATTAATTTTTCATGGTCCCGTGCTTTTTTTTTATTTTTAGGAAAGGGTCTACAGGGTGTTTAGGGTCTCACTACTAGATTAGATTTGGAGTGATCCGCCTGTTTACAGCCTCCCAAGAGCTGGGATTACAGGAGCATGCCACCATGCCCAGTCTCAAACTGCCATCTCAGCGCGCCCTGGGGGCAGGGCCAACATGGCAGGCCCAAGGATAGAACCCCTGGTCTCTGCCCCTGCTTGCAGGCACTTTTAATCCTCTGAGCTATCTAGCCAGCCTCCCTTGCTATTTTTAAGAAATCTTATTTTTCATGATCACTAACTGCAATCCTGTCTTCTATATCAGATATTTTGTCTACACACTGGCTCATTTTGCTGAACATCTCTCCTATATATCTGTCTGAATCTGTTTCATGGGTTCTATTTCTTTCCTATTTGGGGAGTTCATAGTTCCCATCATTTTCCTAAGTCCCTCTATTTCTTATTTCTTATTTTTAGTTTTTCAATCTGTATCTGCTCTACAGTCACTAACCATTTCCATGATTATGGTCACAATCTCTGAAGTTATCTGAGAAATTGTTTGATCTCTTTCCAGAGCTACATTCATCTGCTTTGTTACTTCTGCTGTTACCACTTCACAGAGTCCAGGTGGGTGGCATTTGAATTATTTCATTTCATTGCCCCTGGGCTTGCCTTTGATGAGCTGCAAGTCTTGGGGCTGCATCTTGCGTAAGTCTTCTCTCTTTGTCTCTTTTTTTAGTGTAATTCCTGGTTTGATGTTTGTGAATTGCTATGGCAAGTAGCTTTATTGCTACTATTTAGAACCTTTAGGAGATGACTACACCTCAAAGATGTCTCCCAGGTATAGACAGGTTTTGAATTTTGAGCCTGTTGCAAGATACTACTTCTTCAATTTACTGGTGAAAAGAAGTTGCAGCCTATTTGGCCTAGCCGTTGGTTCACTGGCAGTGGTCTACAGTATTTTTAAGACCCTTAGGCAATCTCAGTCTTGGCATGCCAAGAAGATAAATGATTAATACAATTATATCACATTGGCTGAAGCAGTACAATCAGCAGTAACAATGACAACAAACATAGCCTAGAAAATGACAAGCTATGGTAACTATTCTTGCCACTCTTAACCCTATGAACTACATTTGTGGCTATATAAAAAAATTAACCACTGTAGCCTGCAGCATTCATTGCTCTGTTCCACTGGTGCATTTCTCCATGGAGGCCTTTGAGGTTGTGAACAGTTACCATGTATCTGCAGATTCAACCCACCCCTCCACTGCAGTGAGTCAGCACAAGGAGAAATCACTGCTTGCCGCCTCTTTCATTATCATTGAGGTCTCTCTCTTTGCTCTCCCCATGGGCTTCATTATCTATTGAGATCCTTGCTGGGCTTAGATATTTAGAATAGAGTGAAAGCTATTGAATTTATTTTATGTGAATTACACTACAGATTTTTAAAAACTGAAGAGTTGGATGAATATATGAATAAACATATATATGAGAGAGGGTTTATTTATTTTTGTTTTAGGTACTGGGTTTGAACCTAAAGTCTTGCACATGCTATGCAAGCACTCTACCAATAAAATACACCCGTAGCCCTTTGAAACATTTCAAAAAATATGAGGCAGGGTCTCATTAAAGTTCCTGAGGCTAGCCTTGAACATGTGGTTCTCCTGTTTCAGTGTGCAGAGTAGCTGGGATTACAGGTGTGTGCCATATCATGTCTAATTTAAAACTGATATTTCATGATCCATCTTTTTCCAACTTTGGAAAAAGTGTTTTATGTGTGTTACCATTAAATAAAACTTTGAAAAGACAAAACATTATATATTTTTCTGTAAAGCTAAATGCTTTTAAATTATTATTTCCACAAAGCTAACAGAAATAACATGTAAGTACTATGAAAGTAGGCAATTCAGACCACACAAAATCTAAGTAGGGAAAAGAAAGGCAGAGAAACTGACTAAAATGATATCTACAGTAAGTATAATAGTAGTACATTCATAACTGCTAAAGAATGATAAAATCAATTTTCTTATTTAGGTCAAAAGATATGCAAGGTATAATAATAGTAGATTGAGGTTTGGGGTGGTGACACATGCCTGTAATCCCAGAACTCTGGAGGCTGAGGTAGGAGGATTGCTACAAGTTCAAGTGATGTCAAGGCCAGCCTGAACTGCACGGCAAAACTCTGTTTCAAAAAGACTGGGGGGAAAAAAACAGTAATAGCAGACTGAAAGGCCAAAAGGTAGTAGAGATGCTATAACCTTGTCTCTGTTTTAAACACTCAGAAGTCCAATTACTTAAGCACAAGATGTCCAAAAATTGTATATTTTTCATAAATTTTTATAACAGGAAATATAAAAATGACAATTTTATCGAATTTATCTAATAATTTTTCTGTATATATATCATATATCTTAAAACATTCAATACACAATGCAACCTTATAATCTGGACAGTAATATCTAGTCTCTTTTTAAATCCTTCTTTTTTGTAGTTAGCACAAAGTGTAGAGGATCTCACTATGTAGATCTGATTACTAGTGATTTTCTTGTTTTCAGCCTCCCAAGCGCTGGGATTACAGGTGTGTGCCACCACACCCAGCTGTCTCAGTGAGCCCCAGGGGCAGGGCCGGCATAGCGTGCTGGGGATCGAACCCCGGCCACTGTGCTCTGCTTAAGCAGGTGCTTTAGGCCACTGAGCTATCTGGTCAGCCCTTTAAACCCTTTTTGATTATTGTTTTGTTATGCTGTTGTGTTGTTTTTTCCCTGTGGGTGGTATACTTTCAATGAAATATCTAATGGTGAAGACACTGATAATGGATACTCTGATCTGTGTTTCACTAACCTGTATTTTCCAATTATTTAGTGTATTAAACCTAATCTAAATCATGACTTTTTGAACACCCCTTGTCTTAAATAGACCAGTAAGTTTCATACTGTTTGGTACAAAAGATACACATATAGTTTATAATAATATTTCCCCCTTACTCTTTTTGATTATAGGATAATTTGTAAGATGCTGGTCAACTCTGTCAACACCAGCCATAGAATTACTATAATCATTGACCACTACTGGAATTCTCTTAATTTCATTTCTTCTTTTAAGTTCTTTCATTTATGACAATAAGGAGATATCTTTTTTGTCTTTTCATAACACAGACGTTTTCTCTCCTATATGCTAACATTTTTCCTCTTTCAGTTTCTTTCTTTTGCAGATTTTTAGCTTCTCCTTTCTATTCAGTCTCAGTTTTGCAAATGTGTCCATTTTGTATTGCAAAAGAATATCACTGAGTTTTGGATAAGTATAAAAATTATAACTAATGTAATTACAAAGAATTTTTATAAATTATAGCACAAATTTATAGTTTATTTTTCACAAATTGGTACAAAAAACAATCAAGACTTTATTAGATTTCACTAAAAACAAACATTGAAGGAAAATACAACTTTCTAAATCAAAAAGTATGCAAATAGTTGACATAAAACAAATAGATATATGTGTGTATATTGTAAAAACAAGAATTGACTGGCTAAAATGACATCTGCCTGGGTGACATACAGGATAGTCAGCACATGAACAAATGTGCATACTTGCATAAAGCTTGGGATAAACTGTTAAGTGGTTGAAATTCTTATTTTTATTCATTTTGTTTGATACAAATTCTTGCTATGTTGTCCAGACTGGCCTCCAATTCTTGAGTCCAGCTATCCTCCTGCCTTAGCTTCCTAATTAGCTGGGACTACTGGCTCACACTACTGAGTGATTTGAAAGAAAGTAATAAAAGGTGATATACATGTTTAAATTACAGCAGTTGTACACTACACATTTCTAAATGATCCAATTTTTTCCAGCAGTCTTAAAGTCTTATTACCACATATAACATAAAATTTAACATTTCAAATATGCACATCAGTTTTTTTTTAGCATATTCCCAATATTATGTAATGATTATTTTACTCCCACTTAATAGCTCTTGAACATTTGCATCACCTCCAAGGGAAAGCCTGTACAGAACTCCTCATTCGTCTCTATCTCCAATCCTGACAGCCCTTATTTTTTCTCTGAGTCTATAAATTTGCTTATTCTGGAAAGTTTCACATAAATGGAATCATATAATATGTAGCTTTGTGTATCTGGCTCCATTCATGGAGCATGTGTCCAATGTTCGTCTATGGCTAGCCTGCATCAGCCTTCCTTCCTTTTTATGGTGGAATAACATTCCCTTGTAAGTACAGACCACATTTTGTTTATCTATTCATCACTTTATGACAGGCATTTGGTTTGTTTCCACCTTCAGCTATTGTGTGTAGCCTAGCCCAAACATTTGTGTATAAATTTGAACATCTGTTTTCAATATAAACTGAGGAGTATAAATTCTAGGCCATATAGTAATTCTATGTTTAATTTATTCTTCTTTTTTGATTATATGTATGTAATGCTATCTCATTGTGCTTTTGATTTCCATGCCCCTAACGAGTAATGAAGTTGAGAATCTTTTCATGATTTGTCTTCTTAAGAAATGTATCAATTCAAGTCCTCTGCCCATTTTTGTTTTGTCTTGTTTCAAGGGTGTCTTACCACACTTGAAAGTTAACTGGCCACCGATGTCTTAACTTACTTTATTCACACTGGCATAAGCTGATTAGTGTGGCGTGGCAATAAACTTTTTGTAGCATTTTGAAATCTGTAACTATGAGAACTCGAACATTATTCTTTGTTTCTTGACATTGTTTTGGCTATTTGATATCCCTTATTATTCTATAAAATTTGAGGATCAGCATTTCTACTTCTGCAAAACCAACCAACCAACCAATCATTTTGATAGGTTAGAGATATAGGAGTTATACAGTCGGGGGAAAAAAAAGCATTTTCTCCAGAGGGGTAACTGAGTGGAACTAGTTGATTACAAGTACTCAAATAAGACATGGGTAGGCTGAAGCAGTATGGATATGGGGAAGAGAGGCCAGTGGGATGTGGGATAGCTCATTAAGGGGTAGAGGTTGTAGACAATGGAGGAGTTATCAAGAAGGATACCACAGGTGGGAGGAAGACATGCCCTTTGAGATTCCTTAGTTCTCTACAACCTGTTGAGCTGATGCAGGGTTACCCATGGGTTAGAGGCATCTGGCTTGCTTGGCCCATACTCAGTGAACAGAAATTGTCTTAGGCTGCATGTAATATAGTTAATATATAGATAACAAAGCTCCCTCTAATTAAAAATGTTTTATTATTACACAGGTGTATCCAACCCACAGTATACACTAAGTATTCCATTGTATATTTTATGGATAACTATTACGTGAATTTTATAATAACGTAGTAATTCAAAAAAAGGTACTGCAGTGTCTAACAAGTCCACAGAAGGACTCTGTCTCACCTTTCCCTCATGTACATAAACAAAGTTGGACGGTATACAAGTTGTTAGTGCTGTTCTAGTTCTCTGGGGCTGAAAGGAAACTATACTGCTTTTGTTAGGTGTAGCCAGACAGTCTGTCTTGGCTTGTATAATTAGACACTTTTAAAACTCAGGCTGCAATTTGCAACCTCCAATTCTCATCACTGTGGCAATTAGGGCAGTGTGTTTGAGGAAGTCTGCTGTCTGTTACCCAGTGACTAAAATGAGCAGAGTCTCTGTATGCCCACACTGAACACTCAGTTGAATGAGAAAACTAAGATTCGAAGGTTGCTTGTTCTGTTGTGTCACTCAGCCTATCCTGACAGATAGATACAAGATGGATATGCTATTCACATTCCAGATACCATGGGGAGGTCACCTCAGAGCTTAGTGAGAGGAGCTGAAAAGAACATCACTGAAAAGCATTTCCAGGAGCTGTTTGAAGGGTATTTTTACTCTGTGCACAAACATAAACAAGAATCTATTCTTGTGCAGTTGTATTAGCCTGACTATATAGCATTTAATTCTATTCCGAGATGCGGGCAAGCACAAAGATAATTTCAATGTCTTACCTGTGTTCTTCTAGGAAAAAAGGGACACTGTTTGGTGAAGGGCATGACCTTGTACAACAAAGCTGTATGGTCTCCTGACCCCTGTACCACCTGCCTCTGCTCAGATGGAAGAGTGCTTTGTGATGAAACCATGTGTCAACCCCAGATGTGCCCCTACATGGTCATACCTGATGGAGAATGCTGTCCAGTCTGCAGTGATACTGGTACACAGACGGAGCCGAAACAAAGCATCATGGGTGATTTAGTCAATTCCTTGGTTTCTGTTTTGTCACTACTTTAAAGTATACACTATAGCAACCTACTCATCAGGCACAATGCTTATAAACAGAGCTACCTGGGGCAGTGTATGGTAGGTTATCAGAAACAATAGATTATGGCCTTATCCTTCTAGCTTTATCAAGAATGAGGAGGGCTGGGGAGATAGCTTGGGGGTCTAAGCACCTGCCTGGCAAGCACAAGGACCTGGGTTTTTCCTGGTACCACATGTGGGTCAGCCCAGGAACCATTGAGCTGGCCTGAAACCAGTGCTGAGGAGGCTGAGATAGGAAGATCACGACAAGGCTAAGCTGTGTAGTGAGACTTTACCAAATCAATCAATCAATTGAACTTTTTTTTTTTTTTTTGGTGTGTGTGTGTGTGTGTGTGTGTGTGTGTGTGGAACCGGGGATTGCACTTGCCAGGCATGCACTTATTCTACTGAGCCATCTCCCTGGCCCCTTTAAAATTTTTATTTCTTTATTTTTTTAAAAAAAGAATGTGTAAATGTAGAGCAGCTCACATCCCACAAGTGACCCTTAGTTTTAGCGATAACATGATAGGACTTCTACAACAGATTCTGAATTATTATGAATTATGGACTCAGTTTAGTCTGTACATGTTTTAACTTCTTTAACCCAAATCGCATTGGTACAGTTATCTGAATGAAGACACTGATGGCCTAAGAACATAGGAGGAGTAACTTACAACTGGATAGAGAAACCTTCAACGCACCTGGTTATTTTTCCCAAGTGATCCACAGCATGACCTCAGTAATCCTGGGGACATGCAGAAGTGTGGAGAAAGCACTGTGTTCTAGTGTGGCTCTCCTATGCTCAAGTGCCAGCACGGGCTTTCTCAGATGCTCCTTGAAGACCTATTCCCCCTCAAGGCTTGCACCGAGCCAAATGGGGCCTCTTGAGAGGAAGGTCCAGACTTCTATGAAAAGAAGCCAATGAAAGAAAAGC